ACTGGAATAGGCTGCCCAGGGAGGTGGTTGAGTCCCCATCCCTGGATGTGTTTAAGAAAAGGGTGGATGTACTGCTTAGGGTCATGGTTTAATGGGGGATTAGGGACGGTTGGACTGGATGATCTCTAAGGTCTTTTCCAACCTAGAAATTCTATGATTCTATGAATATTGAGCATTTGCACTGTTAGAAGTGACAGATGTTCAGCACTCCTGCAAACTAATCTTACTACTAAAGATGACTTGATGCATATTTGGAAGTCAGATTTCCTATAGTCTGAAGGGTCATATGCCCCTTCAGGTGCACCAGTTCAACAGTTAGAGGCCATGAGCATTTACAAGACACACACATCATTCTTCAGATGTCTAAAGCTCCACACCTATACGCCGTTGGTAGCATCCTTCAGGTATAAAGTGCACAAAAACACATGCCTGAATCTTGAAATGCCAAATGGGTTTCTGAAGTCTAATGCACAAAATACGTATTCTTCTTCCTGGCTCACTCAGCCAGTCTTCTGAGACCGAATGCAAGAAGACAACTTAAGACTTGGTGAAGGCTTGCTTCACCTCCTTCTGTAACTCATCACACACACTGTCTCTAAGCTCTCTAAGTTTTTGATTTGGACTGCAAGATCTGTTTCTCCCACGCAGTAGAAAGGGCTGCTTGTTAATGTCTGTGTTACCCTTCACTAATACATCACTCACCAAGGAGGCAAGGCAGCTCATTGATGCTATTCTCACTCCCTGTGTTTTAATCCTTTGCTCCTGGTTGTCATCTGCAGAGGCTCAGATTCACTTCAAAAGACCCCCCCGACTGTAGACCCTGAGCAGAGGCACCTGGGTTAAGATGTGAAGAGGTGCCAAGCGTGAACCAGCAGCAGCTGGTGAACGGCCTCTCTTACCAGAGATACCTCTCCGCCTCCATCAACCACAGAAGCAGCCTGCAGTGACTATACTCCTGACTTGAGCACTCCCTGAAGTGGGATGCAGCTTTTTAGTGTGGAGTTTCCTATTTTGTTCATGCTGAATCATCTCCTGCCGCCCCTTCTTAGACCAAGCGATCTGTACACCTGTGGGCAGCACCTCCTGTTGCCATATCCCTGCTGATACACCCTCCTGCACTCTAGAGGAAAGTCCCTGAGGCATCGATATGACTTGTTAAAGCAAAGTGGCCCTTAAAGTAAATTTAGGGGATTAACAGGTGGAACTGGCCTCTTTTTGCAGATGAAAAAAAAAGGAAATCCCTACTAGTGCATTCTATTAAAATAGCCTGAAAATAAATTATATACTGGGTTTATGATAATAGTCATGCAGATTTAAATAATTATTGTTATTATTATAAATTATTATTACAATCATTTCAAGTAATTTTGTTATTTGGCTTTCAGGGTCTTATCACACAAAACCAAAAAAAGGGCAGTGACCTGATATTTCACATCAAAGATAAAGACACATAAACTGCCTAAACAGCCATCTCACTTCACATACAGAAGAAAATAATTTTTATGCAAATAGAGTCTGAGACCAAAATGCCTTTCTCCCTCACCTCCTTTCTATTTCATGATTAAGTAATCACAAATCTGTCACTAGAGACCACACAGAAGGAGGTCTCAAATGGTAGAAATGAGAGCTTTCTGCATTGTCTATTTTTAATTTCAAAAGATATTTTGAATTAAAAAAAGAAAGAGGGAAAAAAGAGCATAATGCTCTTTGCATGCTTGATTTCCCAGAAGTACAAACAAGCTTTAGGTCCTCTTGTAATAATATAACAAATTTTCAAAACCAGACACAAATAAATGAAAATTAAACTATAATCCATAGTTTTAATTGAGATTCTTAGTGTCTGATGCTTTTCAAATTCAAATTATCACTAGGTAGTGCATCTTTTTGCATAACTCATGCAGCTAAAGCATCAATGATAGCTTCTTCCTACTCCCCTTTTTTTTAATGGAGACACATATTCTGTCATAGTGCTGGAATTTTTGCACATAAAAGATGAATAATAATTTATCATTTTTCATAGATGCACCGTATCATATTGTACAGTGCTTAGAGCGCAGTACAGAAAATGAGCAGGGAAACCCAAGCATTTTTGTGTTGAAGAACAGATGAAAACTGAATTCTTCTGTCTTTAGGGCAAATATCCAAAGGTAACTACAGTTGGTTCATGTCTTCAGTAAATAAGATTAAACGCCCCAGAGGTAACACAGAATTCTCTGCATATCAGCCATGTCACTTTGGAAATTGAAAGTCCACAGATATTTTAACTAAGAGGGGTGTGAATATGGAGCTGGAAGAACTAAATCATGGACAGTGTCTACCAAAAAGGAGCTACTCCAGAAAAGATGTTATGGACTAGTTAAAGTTTGATTTATGGTATTTGCGTTCTGGACAACTTCACTGGGTAGTGAATTTCTTAGTCCTTGATCTTGTCGTTATTTCAGCTTTTAATTAATGCAACCTAAGGAAAAAAGCCTTTTCCTACAGGAGAACATTTTTTAAGCACGGATATTTAAAAGCACCCACATAGTCTTGGGTGTCTAAAGCGCTGGAGTCCCCCCAGCTGCATGGGGATACATTTCAGGGCCATCGTCAGTACCCTGTGCTCACTGGGAACATGGGAGAGGTGGCCTTGGATGCCTTTTGGTGAAAAAAGGGCCTGAAGAGGAGTCCCCCGTTTGCAGGGTGTGCGGTGTGGGTTGGGGTGTGAGGGGACTCTCTCCACCCAGGGGGATGGCTGGAGCCCTGCTCCCTGGAGGTCTATCCTCCTGAGGAAGCACTGGTGGTTTGCTTGCAGTGGGAATCCTGGCAGCAGGATTATTCAGTGGATTTTTCTTCCTAATATGAGACTTGAGCATAATGTGCATGGTATGGAATAAGGGGTGGATACTGTCCTGGTTTCAGCTGGGACAGAGTTAGTTCTTCTTTTCAGCAGCCAGAAGAGCTCTGTGTTTTGGTTTTAGTCTGGGACTTGTTATGAGAAGACTGTTGATAGTGCACTGATGTTTATAGTTGGCACTGAGACCGCAAGGACCTTTCAGCTTTCCGTGTTTTTTGCCAGTGTGCAGGAGCACAACAGGCTGGCTGGGAGCATGGCCGGGACAAAGGGTCCCGACTCTCCTTATGATTTGAACTTAGACTTAGGATTGAGGACTAAATTGGCCAATGGACTATTCCATATCATGCAACGTCATGCTCAGTATAAAGATGAGGGTTAACCAGAAAGGAGGGCTTTTGCTCTTCTAGGGGCTCTTACTCTCAGACTCTCGGAGTGCTCTCTCGCTCTCTTTTGCTCTCTTTTTGGGCCTCTCGCTCATCTGGGATTGTGGTGTTGGGACTTATCTGTTTCAGGATCATTAGTCTGGGATGGGTCTTCATTACTGACTGGTCAGTGGGTGGTGAGCAACTGCACTGTGCATAATTCATTGGTATACATTATTATAATTATTATCATTATTACTTATATTTTATATCAATTATTGAATTTTTATCTCAATCCATGAGTCTCCTTCCCTTTTACCCTTTAATTCTCTTCCCCATCCCCTGGGGATGGGGGAGGGTGAGCGAGCAGCTGTGTGGCGTTTAGTTGCTGGCTAGCAACCCCTCTGATGGCTACCGGGCTACCGTTGCTCTCCAGATTTTCCTCCCCCATTAGTTGGACTGAACAAGCTTGGGACTTTTCACATCTCCTGTCAACCCACAGGTTCTTCATCCTGCTGGTCATCTGCACAGCAACTGAAATATAAGCCCATGTATCTGAGGGAGTAAATGTCTCTTTTCTTTTTGAACCAGGGAGATGCAATGTTTAACCATGCAGGAGTAAGCTGAAGGGTGGCGTTTCAAAGGCACGAGGAAGAAATGTTTTAGGCAGCTTGTGTTGTGAACTAGCATGATGTTTTTGGATGGACAGAAAGGGAAAAAATCCTTTAAAATCATGGAGGAACATCACCAGAGACAGTATTTGAACTGTTAGTTAATGGTAAAATGAAATATTTCCTACCCATGAAAGTACAAATCATGTATTGAATCAGATTCCAAAGATGATGTAGTATGATAACAAATGCCAAAAGTGATATGCAGAATGCTAACTCCTGTGAGAAAATAAGAAGAGTGCTTCACCAATGTTGTCATGACATGAACTAGCCATTATCACTACATTCAGTGAAAAAGCTCTGTTTCCACAGCACTTTTCCATGATATTCTTTAATCGGAGGAAGGAAGTAGAAATAGTGGTGTGAGGAACATCATCCAGGGTTTTAAAAAAATAAAACAAACAAATAAGGCATTTCAGAGTGGGTTGTGAAAAAATCACATGCAAGATAAAACCAAAGTTGAAGTTCACATACTTAAAAATGATCCCTGCCACACGACAGAGGCCATTTTGCTTGTGACATAGACACATTTCAGCTCAGATCCACAAATCTGACATCAGCGTCATCCTGTGAGGTCACCTGTCCTAGCTTGGTCACTCTGTTTTTTCTGTTTTCAGCACATTTTTTTCTGTTTTCAGCACACTCTGCACCTTTCTGCTTTCCAAGCTTTCCTGTCCCTTCCCCTGTCTCCAGCCCAGGGATGATCCCATCCTCAGCTGCGCCCCCTGCTCCTTCGTTCCTCTGTCCCCAGAACCACGTGCTGCTCGTCTCAATGTCCTCCTCCTCCCAAAATGTCAGTGTCACTTGTGACCTGGGAAAATATCGAAACCCAGCACCCCTGAACTCACACCAATGGGAACTGGCTTCTTTCCCATGTGCCTGTTTTTACTCCTGGTACCTGACAATGAAGAGAGCTCAATACCAGTGTTGAGTGCTGTTTTCAGAGAGTTGCCTACATCAAATGTTAGTTTTGTTCCTTTACTTGCTGTTGGTAAATTAGGACCCAGGGAAGCAGATCACAGTTAGGCAAGCTCCCAGGAAATTAACGCACTACAGATTTTACCTGCCTATGGTGAGGTTTGGCTGCCCAGTCGTCAGAGAAACTGAAAGGAAGCAACAGCAACAATAAATTTCACTGGGAATTTATCTGCTTTTGCCAACTCATTTGGAATATACTTAAGAATACAAGGTCATAGCAGATTTGAAAATTTTAAAATGCTTTTTTGTTTCTTTTTAGTTCCTCTCTTGCTCTCAAATCAAACCCTGACTTGAAAAACAGCTACTGAAATTTGGGGGTCAAATGTTGCTTTTGTTAAGACTGAAGTTGGCAAGAACCCTTCCACCAA